GCTTAAGATTTATATTCCTGCCTGTAACTACTTCTTTGTTCTAGCCTAGGATTTATATTTCTGCCTGAAATTACTTCTTTGTTCCAGCCTAATGTCAGATTCCTACCTGCAGTCCATTTCCTTGTTCTTGGCCTATGTCAGATTCCTGCCAGGCAGCCCCAAAAGCTCTCCACATCTCCCCCTTTTTATTGTATAAACCAGACTGAGCTTGTCTTAGGTCATTCTGACAAGAATGCCTTCCATTGTGGAATATGCATATTAAAAGCAATGCATTTCTGTCTTAGGTTAGTAAGGCTCTGTGTAGAATCTTACCCATCCTTGGCTCACCAGCCTGTTAAATTAATAATTCTGTCTGGGGGTCCATTTTCAGTTTCAAGTCATGTACTTTGGCTGCCAACCTATTGATATAGTTAGAGAAGCTTTAACACAACGGGCAGAAATAAAAGTATTCCCAGGACAAGAAGAGCCAGCATGATCAAGCTACATATGCCATTTGTGAGGTTTGACCAAAATGGAAATACTGACTTCAGGCCATGGATAATTTTATCAGCATTATCTGCATCATCAAAACTCAACAGAGCAGCATTCTTTAAATTCATAGTCTCACTATGCAAAGTTAAAACACCCAGAGAGATGTTAGAATTATGCCAAATACCCTACAGGTGTCTTTAAACTTTTTTCTAATTATAATGACAATCGTTATAAATTTTATAAGTAACACTACTCCAATGGTATTTGTCATGACACTTGGGATGGCTCCTAACTCTTGAACCCTGAACCGTCTTCAGATAATTTGAATAGGATATAGAGCACCAATCGGTTGTTCCAGACATCTATGTAAATCCATTTTTATACTCAATACATTCGTAACATTTTTTTTGGCTAGGTGATTAACAAAAATAATTGTCTTAACTCCTTGTGTCAAAGCTACTGCAGAAGCAATGGTGCTAGCAATTAATGAAATTAAAGCTGTTATACCAGCAATAATCAAGCCGACTTTTTATCCATACATAAGGACTAAAGTTTAGAAAACTATAAAACTTTCTGATTTGAAGGAGTCAACATTCATAGTCCATTTAAAAGAAATAATGAAAGAGACTCGTGGTAATGAGAAAAACCACAAGAATGAGTGCTATTCCAAAATCTCCATCTGTAGAGATTGAGGGGATCCCTTCTACTGAAGAGACAATGTCAGTGGTACCCAGGATCAGTGACTGCAGCTGTAGACCCAAAGAGGCTGCATGAAGCAGAGAGGCTAGTTTTTGTTTTCCAGGAAGAACAATAGAAGTGAGTAAACAAATAGAGAACATTAAAAGTCATGTAAAATTTATTCCATCACTTTACATAGGCACAATTAATAGTTTCTATGACATTCAGGCCAACTGAGACTTTAGAACTTTGACTTATTATTATAGGCGATGGCACTAATTAGTTTTGGGGATGTTTTTGTTTTATTTACTTCATTTAGTCTGATGCAGTGTCAATGGCTTCCTGGATTGGAGTACACAGAGCTTCCAGATTGTAGACATTCCAGACTCCAGGGAGTCCTTTCAGCTCTTTAAGGAAAGACTATACAGAGCCTCAGAGAGCACATACTGAAGCCACACTGCTGGAGTCTCTGACCAGAGGCTTCTTTCTTGGTACTGAAATGTGGCTAACTCTCTTTCTCACCCTTCAATCCTCCGTCTCTCCAAAAATGGAAAGGGATCAGTAAAACTCTGCTTTAGAACCGGGGGATGTAAACGGCAGTTAACTGGGAAATCTTAAAACAACTGTTAAGAATTATATCCTTAGTATTTGGTAACAACTGGAAAGCAGGTTCTCATCCCCCTTCCCCCCAACTGGATGCTTTCTGTAGTGAGAGGTCCTTTTGCACAATGCTAAGGGAAAGATTCTCTGAATTCCAAAAGCATTCACTGTCCCCTTAACTCTTCCGCTCCTCTAATTTTATGCAACAGTTCACTTTGCAAGAATGCTCTCCAGCCTCAAGCTCTGTCTCTTTTTTCCTTAAACCCACATGTATGGATTTGGAAGCACATAGTAAGACAGGTTTCTCCACAAGCTACTTAGAGGAGCAGAGACTGGAAGTCCTAGTCATTCTTTAAGTTGCCATACCAAAGTAGTGACCAAGGAAAAGGAGTCATTGATACCCCTAACTTTAAAACACTCACACAACACTGTCCCCTTTAGGAGAGTCTGGGTTCATTTTGTAGATACTTCCAGAATAAGATAAAAATATGGTGTTTGGTGTCTATAATGCAGCTTTAAAGACTAAAACTGGCAAGTGCCTGTGAGTTTGAAGTGGGCACACCTGAAATCATTTCAGGGGTTAGAACTAGGCTGCTGTCTTCTGTAGGAGAAGGAAGGCTCAATGAGAAAGACAGTAGAGATGTAGAGATGGCTCTTACATTAGCAGTGACAGTGCTCTTATTGACAGGAAAAGAAAATTCAAATAGAAACTCAAGAGCAGACATTTTTTCTCTTCTTCATCCCCCATAGCTCTAGGTAAGTAATGATAGCAAGAGATCGGGTTTGATAACAGATCCAGATCATTCTATCCTCTTAATGAATGTCTATGAGTCTCCTCTCCTCCCTCTCTCAATTCCGATTGATTTTATTTTCTTTAAAGTTGTCCTTTATCCTTTTCTTTTGAAATAAAAATAAAGTTACATATGCTTTCCTATCGTGTAGATATTTTATTTATTCATGAATAGAAACAGAAATCTAAAATGTGTGTTTCTGTAAGTATAGCAGGGCCTCAAAATCTTTAGGGCATCCTTTGGGTGTCTCTGGTCAATGAGACACCCAGTCTTGTTTTGTTTTAGGGAAATATCTGCAGCCTGCTGCAATGATGGGGGATGGGCACAGCCACACAGGAAGAGGTGACTGGGGCTGTCCTATGACATTCTGTGCAGAAGGGGTGACATTAGGATAACCAAATGACACCTTGACTTTGAGTTTTATAAAGTCATAAGAAGGAAAGTGCCATTGTGCCTGGTTCATACCTTAAGGAAAGACTCTCTGTGACTGGTAATGTCCCCTGGGAAGGTTAGATCATGAACAGTCTGAGATGATCTCACCCACTTAGTTCAGGGGGTTGAACCTCATGGCACACAGGGAAGGCAGTTACTGTTAAACTGTTCATAACTGCTGTGTTCAGACAGGGAAAGCAGAAGCAAACCTTCAGAGAATAGTTACAAGTCTCAAATTTAGCTTTCTATAATGCAAGCTTTTGCCCCTTAGAGCTGATAACGTTGACAGAGGAGATCTTTAGAGGAAATCATAGACTTTTCTCTATAATGGGGCTGAGCAGGACTCAAGTACTACCTTAAAGGAGGAATTAACTTGAATGTACCCAACACTTGGGTTGGCTTTGTCTCATACCTGTATCTTCCATGGCTTATTACTCATGATAGCAAGCAGACTACATTGTGGCTGGAGATAAAGAGATTTGAACGTCCACAGGTTACCTTGGCCAATAGTAATTTTATATCATTTTCTGAAAGGAAACCACACTCTCTGCAGTATTTTTCCACTGAGGGGAAAACTGCAATATGGGCGAATGCTTCATATCTCTTTTACTTGAATAATTCTATGCTAGCTCTTTCATCCTAAACAGTGTTTAACATTTCTAAATTTCTTTTGATATATGAAAGATAAGGAGAATGTTTGGAAAGACCCATGCCACATGTCTAATTTATTTCAGTTTTATACCTATAGTGAAATTTCCCATTTGAAAGGACACACAAGCAACAGATGTGAAACAGTAAACAGTTCTCTCCCTTTAAGAACCTTAAGGACTAAAGTACTGCTTTGGTTTCCTGACTGGCAGCCTGGGCTTGCCTCCTCCAAGAGCAGCTTCTGCAGTTGCCCAGATGGAACATTTGAAGAGGACTTCTCTCCACATGAGAGCCTTTCATCCCACAAAACACACAGAATAGGGTGGCAAGCTTCGTGGCCCAAGAGTTTGATTTTTTTTTCCAAAGTAGGTGTCAGCTCTGTTTCTCCTCTCACAGGTGCACAACACTCTGGAAAAAGAACAGATCAATCCCCAGCCCATCAACCACAGCCACCCCTACACATATCCAAGGTCTCTTCCCTACTGGAGAGCTCTGGGAGAGTCAGTCAATAACCAGGTACTTGCTAGACAAAGGCAGAAGGGATGATAAGGATGAAACAAACCGTTCATCTGAAGTCTCTCTACATCAGTCAGTTGTGCACAGAAGAGATGTATAATCTGGCCTGCATGCTTTCCGAGAAGCATATTGAAACACTTCATGTTTTAGGTGTGTATAGGCATCACAGAGTTCTCATATACTTTCGTAGTCTCAGTGCAAGTCTCATTTTAGGATGTAGTGGAAAGGTAGCCCAGCAGTGGCTCATCCTGCCCCAGCTTGTAAACGGGGATTTGTTCTTTCCTATCTTCCAGCCTCCTGATTATTGTCCCCGGGCAAAGGGCACTGGTTCACATCATTTTTTCCGAGTAGTTAAACCTGGAAAGATACTTCTTAAAGGACTCACAGAAGTTGTCTTGGGGGTTTGGAAAACATCACAAAATCATCAGCCGACCTTTTGACTGTGCTATTTTTAGAGAACTAATTGTGTTCCTTTAAAGTGCATTTTTTGACAATGGGACAGCTTCCCCTGCCCCTGCTGATATGTGAAATATTTACAATTAAAAACACAAGCATAATACCGCAACAGATACATTTAACCTCAGAAACAGTCAGACAGACAGACAGACAGGGTGCTTGGGGAGGGGTCCGCTGTGACTTAAAAAGAGAAAATACTTTTGTAATAGAAATGCTGTTGTTTCTGCCAAAAAGGAATTTTTATTTTACTGTTCAAACAGAAGTTTGTTTTCAAACCAGTTGCTAGTTAAGAAGCTCACTGTTCATCCCAGCATCCTTATGAATCAACAAGTAAACGCGTTAACCAGAAGGGACTCACTCAGAGCAGTAAACCTCTGCAGGTCAGCTGCCCAGAAAGGGTTATCTTACCTTGAGCACGTAAGAGCTGGGAAACAGGGACTCGGGCTCCCACGGAGAGGACCGTGGAAGGGCTCTGATCCTCTGCGCTCTGCGGGTAACTTGCACTTGGCTTTTATGGACAGGTGGGCGGAGCTGTTCCTCACAGTAGGTGGGCAGGGATTGAGCCGGGCGGCGGGCGGGCTGCCCCTGTGGAGCTGGACACTTGTCTGGGGAGGGACAGAAAGAGTAGAGCCTGAGCTTGCAGGAGTTGGGAGAGCCAGGGACTTTGGAGGGCGGCGGAGAGTAGACAGGAGTGGAGGGAAAGTAGAGAAATATACAGAGAGCACAGAAGGGAAAGGTTGGGGAGGAAATGAATGGGGTTTGGGGACGGGAAACTAAAGTAGGGGTAGGAGAGGAGAGAGATGAGGATTTGATTCTGGAAGATGGAATGGGTACTGGATTATTTTTCGGTTTTGTGTGACATTTTTGGCAGGGAGAGGAACCTGGGGGACTGTCAATAATAAAGGTGTTTTCCCTGTGATCGAAAATCCAAGCAACCGCCCAAGAGAATTGAAGGGTTTTGAAGTGAGGTAGAGGCGAGAAAGATAGGCTTCTGAAAGAGGGGGGGAGGACATGCCCTATGCGTCCAGACAGAGGTGGGAGGGGATCGTCCCCGGGAGCCCCAGACGCCCTGCCTCTGGGAGCTAGCTGGCTGCTGCAGCCTGGCTCACCCCTCCTCACTCCTGCTAGCCTCCTTCCACAGAAAGTTGTAAGCGTGCAGCATCCAGGCAGCCCAGAGACTGGTGCAGCTGTGAGGTCCATCTGCGGAGACAGCTCCGCACCAGCTCGTCCCTTCAACATCAACATCTGCTTATGTAACACAGGATGCCAGGGCTCGCTGTCCTCTGGTTATTTTCGGTATTAAAAAAAAAAAATTCTCTCCTAGCTAGCAACTGAAAAATGTTCGGTGTCATAGCTCTCTCCACTTGTCATAAGCATAGAGAGGATTTAACCGACAAGTGCGAAGAAGGGTCATGCTGAAGTTATTAAAAAATGTATTCAGAGAAAGAAAAACAAGGTCCTTTCGGTGCTGAGCGGTGACTCACTTCCCAGCCCAAGCTCGATTTTTGCCACCAAAGAAATCAAAGCATTTTAAAAGAGGACTTGAGACTCAGAGGTGGGAAAACGGGGATCAGATAGAAGCCTTGGAGAAGAGGGAATGACCTTGATCACTGAGTACACACACACACACACACACACACACACACACACACACACACACACACGATCTTCAGAAGGCTCTGATCCATGCTGTGCTGTTTTCTAGCTAGCTCAAGCTGGCAACAGGCTGAGCTAGGGAGTTTAAAAACTCCTGCACTCCTCGGTGTGCCTGGAGCGTGTTCATCGTTCTGAGAAAATTCTGCAGAGACTTGTAGACTGTTCAGTAGTATCCTTAGCTTCTCCTCCGCAAAGATGCCAGAGGACCACTCATCCAATAGTCTCCTTCTGCTAGGCGTGAAAAAAAAATGGCCTTGGACTTAGCCATAGGATTCTGAGGAGCAAAAATTCTCCACTAAGAAAGAGCCACCAGCCTAGTAAAGGTCCACAGTATAAGAAAGAATTTTAAAAGAATCTATTAAGAAAATACTACTGTGTGCCACTGGGATAATAATACTACCTGCTGCCACATGTGCTAAGTTTACACTGGACTTAGTTTTTACAGACTTACTCCCATCTGTCTGCCTGGAGAGCCCAGAACCTCAACTGATGGTTCCTTTGTAAAGACTCCAAGCTTTGGTCAAATGGATTCGCTTGGAAGTCAACATGCAGAGACTGGTGTGATGCAGAGAGGGAGGATAGTCAAGCACACACAACGTAGAAACCATTTTAACTTTCATCAATATACAAATTTGACTATATATATATATACATATATATACATACACACACACACACACACACACACATATATATATATATATATATATATATATATGATACACATATGTGTGTGTGTGTTTTCCTGGTCCTCCTAATCAACTTTATTCAGGAAAATGTCTGGCTCTAACAAGCTACGTCTATTGGTTTACTACCCAGCAAAATATAAATGCTCAACAAATGTCACCTGGATCAACTGAATAAATGGTCCTAATGAGCATGGGCATACGGGCAATGAGCAGCAGTTGTTCATTTAATGGATGAATGAAGAATGAAGACGGGTAAAACTTTCACACAAACTCTTTTATCCAGTTAGTTGTTACCTCTGTCTTGGTTTTGTTTGTTTGGTTTTTTTGTTGTTTTTTTCATGATTCAGTTTTCCTTCCTAAATAGTATATCTTTTAGGGATCTGTCCAAATCCATTAAGTGAAGTCTATGAATGAGTAATAACCCTCGTTACCAGAACTGAGACTCAAGACTACATTATTTGTGTTGGGGCTGAACCATGAAACCAAATATAATTTTATAGGCATAGTGTTACTTCTTATGAGTCTTTCTTTACTTTAGTAAGGAAATGTATTCTGAGCAAACAAAAGAGGGGCTAGAGGAGGGTCTGGGTGATAAAAAGTATTAGAAAATATTCCCACAGGATTATAGAAAATAATCCTTTAATGCGTCTCGCACATTCCAGTTCCATCACATAGTTGTGAAAAGTGAGGGGCGGGGCTTGGGGAACAAGACAAGAAAAGTACATTCACAGAGAAGGCAGCCTCCAGCTGCAGGCTGGAGTTTTCTTTTCCTTTTTTCATCCTTTACCCCATTATTCTGAACCTGAATATCCAGCCAACATAGCAAAGGCGCTCCTTTCATTTTGTCTGGATGGTGCCAACGATTAGTTCATTTCTCCAGTTCACACTTGCCCGAGTTTGATTCAGTAGCAGATCTGGATAACAAGTTGTGAATCCAGGAATGGATCTCTGTGCAAACTCTCAGAGTGCTCTTCCTTGAATCTCTTCAAAGGGGACTGAGCCTTGAAGTGAGCTCCCTGGTGAAAGGAAAGGATCAAATGGCAACATGTTATGCCCTAAACTTGCTATCACGTGGATATATGAAGAGCATGATGGCCTATTTCCAAGTCCTTGGTGGATATAAACGTTTCCTCATATACTGTGTGTATGGTTAATTTATGATCAGTTAAACACGTATATTGATTGATACACATAGATATCTTAAGAATGGACATGGCAGTGTAGGGCATTTAAAACAAAGGAAAACAAGTGTGTAGATTTGTTTTCACAGAAGGGGAAAAGCATACTTTCCTGACAGTTGAATAGTAGAGAGTCCAAGGAAGAGGCAGTATTTGAGTTGAGCCATACCAAGTAGCATTTGGATAGATCAGGACTGAATGGTAGTACTTTCTGGATAAGAGAGGGACACTAATGTCTGGGAAAGGAATGGGGATATTCTGAACAAGTGGAGTAGCTGTCAGGGCTTTAGAGGAGGGCTGTTTAGTAGAACGATGAGGTTAAACAGTTTAAGAGGGTAATGAGATTAGTGTGTGAAAGACCTTAAATGTTTCATCATTTGTTTAACTATTTTCTAGACTACAGTCACTGAAAACTTAAGAGTTACCAAGGTTTCATTTTACTTTTAATATAGGTTCTTTTATTGTCACTTTACAGATGTTTACCAGTGAATTCTTATCTATATTTCCTGAGTCACTGTATACAGAGAGAAAAACTAAGTACCTGTGTTTTGCAGATATGGAAATCTAAACAGTGGTGGCTTTAGCTCTATTTACTTATTGAGTCCTGTGTAGTTGCAAGGAGGCAACGGGGAAGGTGAGACTTCTCTAGGGCATAAGCAGAATGCCAGGTGGGGCTAATGTAAGGGTGATGCCTGCTTCATGTGTCAGGGGGGCACAACTTCTTTGTCTGTTGTTGGTTTAAGTGACCCTCCAACATATCTGCATCCTTTAGTTTTCAAGGGTTTCTGGTTGGAAAACAATTGAATCTGTCTGGGAAAGCTGCATATCCACATGTATATTCTTACATAGCTGACTTTCAGTTATGTGTATCTATTTCCCCCAGCAGATTTCAAGCTCTAATGACTCTTCTTGTCTGTCACTCAGTGGTGCTTAAAAACACACATGAGATTGGTTTTCGGTATAAGCAAGAACCACAGACAGGTATTTCTGCTTGAAGCAAATAGGGTGATTTCAAGTATGGTAGGTAAAAATTTACTTTCGATCATGTGACCCATCAGTCTTAAGATGGTGTTAGGCATCAACATATGTGAACCTGGTCAGTAAGGCTCTTAAACACACAATGTTCCTAGGTTTTTAGGATAGGGTTTTATTTACAAAGATTGAAAATTCATTTACTGCCCAGAAGAAAAAGCACACTTACTATTTATTCCTAAAAGCTGTTGGATTTTATGAGTCATTATTCTCTCGTTGGCTCAGAGAGCAGAGCTGACTGACATGGTAGATCCCACAGATGACCTCCTCAGACTCCCATTGGCTTTGTAAACAGCATTTGGTAACAAGATAGAAAATCTGAGGTTCATATCCAGGTCTGGAACTAACCACCCAAGAGAACTTGGTGACAGGTTTTCTCATGTTTGAAATCAGTATCCATAAGTATAAAACAAAGACGTTTATCCAGACACTCTCCACATTTTCCTTCATCATGTACATGCCTGCTCTGTTCATCGGGTCTGCAGACACCCTACAGACTCAGCATGCCTGCGATGTCAAACAACAGTCAGTGATATACAAGCTTGATTTTGGGCATTGGAGTAGGTTCTATAATCCATCATCCCAAGGTTTGCTATAAGGGGATATGGCCGAGTGATAAAACCTCATCTGTATTCTAGGTTCAGATTCCTAAAAGGTGAAGTTATCCTATTGTCACATGACCAGGAGCATTGCTTTTCTGAATTTCACAGCTTGGCAGAAGTCTCCCAGACACAGCCACTAGCCTTTTAACTTTTTTCCTTGGAATCTCATGGCACTTCTCTTTCGGTTGAGAGAAATATAACTGTACCATATAGATGCCTGTGCTCTGAAGTCTTCCCACTGCCAGATGTGCTTGGCAGCAAATTAACTGTGCTTGATGACTTAACAAACTATTCTATCCTCACTGTGAGCGCCCCCTTCCCTTCAGTGC